TGAAACAAAGAGAATTTAAAACAAATAGTTGCCTACAGGATTTGCAAATACAAAAGCTCAGTTAATTCTTCAGCAGCTTACCCAACCCCAATGACAAGTAAAATTCATCTTTTTGAGTGCACAGGGAGAGACCATCTAGGTCAGAGATAGTGCCTAGAGAAATATAAACGTCCATATTTTACACGTTATAATTGGAAAATAACCTTCAATACCTTTTACAAACAATTAAGCTTATAACAAACACATGGCAACTCTGTTGGTCCATACTTCCTCAAGAGATTAATTGTTAGGTTCCTCGAGCACATCATTTAAAATGTATTTGCACCTGCAGATCACCTTCAGTACAAAAGGGATCTCTCTTGCAAAACAAGACGCTCAGCTGCCAAAAGAAGTGATAGTTGGAAACATACCCGAGGAATAGTTTGTATCAAAGCTTTAGCTTGGGTCAGGATGAAATCTGCTTTCTCTATCAGTAACATAACTGTTAAAACTTTTGGGACATATTATTACAGTATGAGGGCTCTGCCGGAGGATTTAAAACAGCCAAGAGCCTGTCTGCCTTCTGCTGAGACTGACACAGAATTTTCCCATGTTTTTGGGACAAGTGTCTTCTTTTCACCCTTACTGCCGTCCTTGGGTGAAAGAGGGAGAAGGCAGAAATCTGCACTTACTCTCTACCCCTGCTCTCTCCCCAAAAAGTCTAAACTAAGATGGGATGTGACAATTCTAGGAAATTAGTTTGTTGCAGAGGTCATCAAATGGCAATTGAAAAATCAGACTTTTCCTAGGAAACTTGCTCCAGCCTTCCAGGCAGAACAACTACCACAATGCTACAGTACAAGAGACATGTCCTCACTTATGTGTTGGGATAAACATTTTTTAAAGAGTGTTGCCATGTCAGTGAAATGCTTCAGCCAGGTACAAATTTGCTCATACAGGCAGCCTCTCTCTCTTCACCACTGCTGCTCACCACCTTTAGCTCTGCTTTGATCTTTTCTTTCTCCCTCTTCATAACCCGCAGCTCACCCTCCTGACCATCACGCACACCCTTAGTCAAGTGAATTTGTGGCGCTCGGAAAATCAGCCGAGTGGCACACTGATCTGGTGTTACAGCAGCATGAGAACAAAGGGGCTTTTCCTAAACTGCTGCACTGCTATTGATAAGGAGAGCAAAGTACAAACAGGCAAGGAAGTGCGCAATACACATAACAGCAGATGGAGTGAGAAGAGACAGAGATGTGGCTTTAATATCTTACCAGCTCTAGCAGTATGCAGCAGGGGATAACTTGTGAGGATGTGCTTGATAATTGCGCAAATGTTTATGCATAGAGATTATCTCAGAAACCAGGGAATTGAAATTGGATGTTAATGTGAAACTAAACAAATTGCAGACTGATGTTCTGAAGTCAAAAGGATCTTGCAGGTCTTTCCCATTCTAAACTCCTTCCTTTCTTCTGCACAGTTATCAATTTTCTCTTGAACTGTTCCCTTTATTACATGCCTAAGTACGACACTCTGAGGAAGGCTTCCAAAAGCAAAAAATGGTTTCAAGGCATCTAACTATCCTTGAAATCCAGTGATTGTTAAAGTACCACAACTACCACCGGTATTTTTGCATCACCAGCAGCATCCCATCTCTTTCCTGTCCCTGGGCATGGCTCAAAGTCTACTGAAGTCAATGATGACTGAACTACAGACATCACATGAACTGACACTACTGGAACTCCTGCTGTTTAGAAACATTCAATAAATGTTCAGTATCATTTTCATGCACTTCCAGCACAAACTATATCATCCTGCAATAAGATGTCAGAGTGGCCCTCCCTCATTCATCATCCTGTACTGACTCTGGTCTATACACAATACTTCACCCAGAAGAACAGGGTTATAAGTTCAAGTCCATATCTGGGGTAGACTGGTAAAAAAAAAAAAAGCTGTTTTCCAACAGCTGAGCATTTGGCCCACTTATTGCAGTCATTTGGAGGCCTTAGACTGGTAAACAGCTAGTTTTTAAGAAATTAGACACTGGATTAAAGAAATCTATCATTGCTCTCAGAAATACTAACAGATAACATTATTTCATTGAAGACCCCCTCGAAACCTGATTTGTATCAGTAGTAGAATGACTAGAGGCTTTATAAATAATTTTTTTTAAAAGACGCAACTCTGATTGATGGTTGGGCCTCACAGACCAAGACTACAGTTATTTTCCAAGATTTTAAGAGCATTATTCTTACTGTCATACTTCAACTATTCTTAAAACAATGCTTATTTTTAAAATAAAAGCTCTCAAAATTAAACTGCTATGTGCAGTTGTTACACTAGAAAAAAGCAGAAATACAAACTTTCCTGCTTTGCTCTGCTTACGCGCTTCGGGATGCTGACACTACTGATGGGGGATGTGTAATGAACTCCTTCTATCTCATCCGTCTTTCGCCAAAGACGGCCTGTGGGGAATCAGCTACTGATATTATAACAAGGAATTTGATGGTATAGACCCTCATCTATAAATCTACCTGTTTAGACAGAAAAAAATGTATCATCCCAAACTATTCCAACACTGACCCATCTTACAGACAATCACATGTATTTGCATGTTCCACTTCTCACATTAAATAGACGGACAGTGTTTAATGAATTACACACCATTACATAGTCGGTTCATTGCTGTGTTGCAACAACACATCGACATTAAGACCTTCTTGACCAAACCTTCCCCAGAGTTCTTGTTGTCACTTGTAGAAGGGACAGAAAGAACACAGGCACTTGCTAGTTGTAAACCTTATTAGCTCCAAATGTGTCAGGCAAGGCAAGGTGCAACTTACGGGCCAACAGGACCAGGGCATTTGAGAAGCTCCAGCTAAAAATGAACCAGGACACAACAGAGAGAAATAATACTGCTCTCGTCAGGGACAGAACTTGTTCCCAAATGTTAAATCTCCGCACCTTACAAGAATGGATGCTAAAGGATTTCATTAGATGAGTTCTCAGAAACTATGAGGTGGAGAACTTTCCTTGTTGGTTTTTTTTTTTTTGGCTTCCTCCCTCTGCCCCAGAACACCTTCCTTACAAAATCAGATTCACAGATTTCACTAAAGAAGATCAAGCTATTTCTGATGGACTACTTATTCTGTCTTGTCACTCCACGAGAAAAGTCAGAAGAGAATTTAGTAAGAAATTAATGCTTTATACTTACCATCTATTCTTCTTTCTGAATGTAGGTCACTGTATTTACACCATATCTTGAACATGAATTTTTTCTTGTTTAATTCTAGTTTGACACACATTTTCTAGTTATATGCAAATTTAAAGTAATTGAGATGCTGCCTTCAAAGAACAACATTAAAGTACTCCCAAAAGCAGATGTCAAACATTCAGCAGCTTAACTAACACTAAAGGAAACCCACAGCTGCATACAAACACACAAGGTGCAGCTGCTGCATAAAGTTTTCTTCCTTTTGCTTCCCTCCTCACTAACGAGAATCAGAAATAGACATTTGTAATTGTTTTACTGGAGAAAAACCTGCACTGAGAAACACTCTTAAAGTAGGAAATGCCAAATTAAATGGACTTCATACAACCAGAACTGATACCCTTGTACCTAAGCACAGTAGTATCATCCTTAATCACTGAATTTCTCAAATACTATTTCTGAAAGCTTTTTAAAGCTTTCAGATCCTTGATATATGGCACTACGCAGGTACAGAAAAACTGTCATCACCATCAGGCCAGCATCAAAGTGCTTCTAAAAGTTGGTCTAGGTCAAGCCAGCTCTAATAGTTCCAAGACCATCTCCTTCCACGGGCAATAAAAAAATCCCGCACCAATTCTGAACGCACCACCCGCATGCAGTACTGTGGCATAAGGCCATTTATTGCTGTGATTATTCACTCTTGAGGCTATGGTCAGAGCAAAGCCAGCTGCGAGGTGAGAAAAAGGTGGGAGAGAATCCCCAGGAGATGCTTAAAGAACAGTCTTTGCTGTCTCCAGGCTCCGCCGAACAGCAGCACTACTGAGGTCATGAAAATGGGCTGGTGTCTTCAGCATTAATGTGGAAGCCCTGACAAACTATATCATGTTCTAAAAATATTTGGAGGTTTAGGGGAGGAGAAGGAGGGAAGGAAGGCAGGAAGGAAGGCGGGAAGGAAGGCAAAAAGAGCTGGAGCTAATGAAGGAGAGCAGGTCAATAGTTCAGCATCAGCACAAGGAGAGCAGAAATTGCCCTGACAAAGATCAGTCAGAAAACACACCCTAACGTTAACCTGGAGTTAACATCTGTGAGGCCATCAGTGAGCCTTTCATTCAACACCTAGCACACTGATCCTTGATCTGCGAGGAGCCCACAAGGCCACAGTAAGCCAAATAATCACCTAAATAACTTTATTAATTTCTTTCCTCTTGCCCCCACCCTAGCCCACCAGAATACTAGAAACTCAGACCTGACTTACAAATTTCTCTGTACATCCATAACTCCATGGTAACCTTTCTACTGAAGTCATTGAGACGATTCACAAATTATACCTTGCTGTACTTGCAGGACTGAGCCAGAAATTTCTTTAGTAATGTTGTCATTCACACATACACTGATTTTTTTTTTCTTCTTCTAATGAAACAAACAGGGAGGATTTTATTCCTGAAATTCAATCTAAAATAATGCCTTATGAAAGTAAAATATCTTTGTGGGCTAGCATCAAAAACTGCTACAAGGCTCCATGGAAAAACATGTTATTTTTTGTTTGCCGATATAAACACGGCAGAATCAAAGAGAATACTGCTCCCCCTCCTGGTCCTAAAACACATCTAGGTTTTTGATTTCTAAGTGAATGCCTGGAAAAAGTAAAAACAGAACTTGCTTTCTTACATCGTTTTAACATAAATATATTTAGGCATTAAAACTTCTGTTACTAGTCCCCTGAAAGTTCATTCATAGGACTAAATGATTAGGGCATGAAAACAACTGTGTTACTCATAAGCCCAGATAAAAATGTGTGGACTATTACTAGGTTTCATCTCATTTTTATGACTCCTTTCCCCAAATAAATCAATCACATGAAGTTAAACTCAACATGCAGAGTTAAGCTCTCCACAGAGACTGTGGAGATTGCAAACGTAAATCAAATAGGAAGAAAGCAAGCTGAGATAATGGACCATTTATACTGGTTTACTTCAAAGCCCTGAGAGATGGCTAAAAGTGTTAAGATAATACACAAGAAGCACTGATTCCAGAAGAAATAATAGAAGCCTGTCTTACCAAACATGCAACTGTAAGTAAAAACCCCACAACTTCTACAACTACTTCTCCAACTGCACAGAATTTCTATTATATCGAGAAACTTCTAAGGATATGCAGCAAAATAATCAGCCTTAAAATTAGCCTTAAAACTAGCAAGCCTGTGGTTGTCCTGATAACTGGCAGTATCGGGAGATTTGGTTAAGAGTCTTCCATAAAGACAACTACCTTCTCAGCAAAGGGCACACGGAATTAGTCACACCTTACACTATTAATGGAAGTCACACACAACAGTGAATGCAAACCACTGCATTTTCAGAGATAATTAGAAGCAATTTCCTCAAGTTCTTTTTCTTGTCCTGGATATGTAGGAATAATTTTCTTTTTCACCCAGATACTGGTTTATCATAAAATATGGTGCTATCCACACATTCAGGTATTCAGAAAAAATAGTAAAGACTGGTCATACATCCAAAGGTGAGGTTTTTGTTTCAGAACTGTGTTTTATGTGTTGAAGGTTCAGGTAAGTGCAATACTGCTGCTGTACAAACATTCTACCTTCCCTTCCAAAACTATAATCTCTTACTTAGATGACAATTAAAAGTGAGATGAATTCCTTGATTCTCTGCCTGTGCACGCTGCAAGTAACTAGTTTCAGCAAGATTCACAGAACTTGATCAGGGGAGACTCGGGACTGGAATAAGAAAGTGCTGGAGGTCGAGAATTGAATTTATGAATAAAAGACATGGGAATGCTTAGATAGTATATATGTGAATTGTGTTGCTCAGTTTTATATACACATCAGCGACAGAGTATAACCCTGCTGCCTCATCAGTGTTTAATTGACTTTTCCTATCTTTTAAAATTGTTATCTTTCCTTTGTGAGAAAAGACCCAAACAACAGGGAGAATAAATGGCTACACAAAACCAACAAATCTATCTCTACAACATTCTGGTCAATTGTATAAATAAACTGGGAAAAAATCCAACCTAAAGTAAATTTATATGGTACTTGCAGTAGTATATCAAATCTCCGACTTCAATTTGATCTTCCTGTCAATTGTGCTCATTTGAAAGAAAAAAAATACAGGTTACAAAGCTATCATCAATTATAAAACGCAGGTGTTGTATTTCATTACCTCTGAATAAGAAGTATCTGAGTATCACAGTAAATGTCATTAGGGCACTAAGGCTTCAATTTTGAGAGTCTTCTAGTACAAGGTGTCCTACTGTCTGAAGACACCTGCTACAAAACCCATTAAATTGCTGGAAATGTGGCATGAGAGCACAAGGCAAATGAAATTGAAAAACAAGTAAGCTGATGCTTCTTGTCAGGCAGAAGCTGTAATTCAAATGTTTGTTGAGAACTATTGCTATCTCCATACACAATAAAACAGTAAAAATAATGCAGAGCCACGCATCTCACAAAAATCCACGTACAGTGTTTTCTGAAGCCTGCAGTTATCTCCTCAGGCTATAGTGTAGCACTGTTCAAGAGAAATAGATGAGGCTGGAGAACTGTGGACTAGAACTACTTAGAAGTTTACAACTGACACTGGCAGTGACCGGGAAAAGCAATTAAACTAAGTGTGATTTATTCAAACAAAAATGTCCTTTCTCCAGAGAAAATACCAAGTTTTGAAGAAAATTCGCTGGTCCCAAACTCCCCAAATTGTCCTTCCCACCATCTTCTCTGCATGAAGAAAAAGCTCCCTGAGGTTTATGATCAGATCCAATGAAGATAACAGGAGATTTTCTTTACTGAAAGTTTTTAACTGGATGTGGCAATTCAGAAAGCTGAGCAGAAGACAATCAGCGCATCATGCTCTGAGCAATCAGAGTAATAATCACCGAAATAATATGTTCAGAATGGCAGATAATTGTATTATGATTAAACATAATAAATATATATTAAAGAATCAGGCATAAATGCAGGCATGTCACTAACATTAGCTGCAGGTTTACTTCTTAAATATTTCAGACATCCTACCTCGTTATTGACTTCGGCAGGTTTTTTCTTTGTTTCTCCGATATCCAAATAGCTGTGGAAGGAAAACAGTTTTGATTACTTACAGAAGCATCTAACTTATACAATACAAATATTTCTACACTTTTTTCATACATGAAGCTTTTAAAATTTATCATGCCTCAAAATAACATCAAAAATAACTCATTCAAGATTTTAATGAAGGACTGTTAATATAAATCTGCAGGCTAGCCCTCTGGGCTAATACAAAAGACACAAGAGAATCAACCATCTATCTTCAAGTCACTGGTGATTAGAACAGACCATCAATAACTCCCTCATCAGAAAGAAGCTCACATACTACTGTGAGGTGGATCCACAAATCTCAGCACAACATCAACTTACCAGAGTTTTCAAAGTCATCATCTTGCCTCTTAGTTTCTCACAGTAAGTCTCTGATAGATGTAAAGCTTTCCTCCCTACCCAAGTATAACTCAGGGCATCAGCTAAAGTTTAAAAGGATTTACACCATTTGTGTTTCAACAGGACCTGGACACATCTGAACACTGTATATCCTGATTTCTCGTGGTTGTGACAACCAATAGCATTTTCATAATTATTTTATGAATAGATAAAATACAAGCCTGAACTGGACAAGAAAACAAAATACATCTATTTGAACAATACTGCTGTCCATCAGAGTACATATTCCCACAAAAACATTGCATTAACACAAAAGTGTTAGTTAAAAGACAGAGTAATGGATTAGCTGTATGTTGCCTTTCCAAAAAAAGAGAATTAAATAAGTCTTCAAGCATGAGTAACCCATACACTGGCAAACAGGCAACTGTCCAGGCACCCAGACTACGCTAACTCCTTTCCCTTGTCAGCACTCTGAGAGCCATGACAGCAGTTCTTCTCACGCATGTAACTCTCAGTACCTGCCGGTATCGCAAGATGTCTCTAGTTCTCAGTGCTGTAGGAAGAGATACCTTCACGGGCAGTTATAACTCAGTACAGCAGCACCTTTCAGCACCTTCTGCCAAGATGCTGGGAGCATCTAACCTAATGTTAGGTGATGGGCATTTCTTAAAGGTTCTCCTTATTCTCCAGCAATGTCATGCTCTGTAGTTAATGACTAGGATAAGATTTGTTTGCCAGAGGAAACTTTCCTGCCTGGCTCAAGTTGAGAATTCATGGGACCTGAATGAAGGTGTAGAAGCAAGGGGGGAAAAAAAAAAAAAAAGAGAGAGAATGAAACAACATCTTTCAATCATCGTTTATCAAGGTACCACAGAATGATCACAAGGATTTCAAGTCTTCAGTGTGTGGGTGCAGTAAGACACAGCAAGGCTTCCAGGCAATGCTTGAAAGGGCATGCCAGTGCTTTGGAAAAGGTAAATGTAGCAATGTAGGAAAATGTTTAAAAACAAAGTGTCCAAGTCTTCTGTTTAAAAACAAACAAAAACAACTGTTGCAAGCTTCTCCATGTAAAAAAGGAGTTCTCTTGAGATCACAAAAAAAGAAGTCTTAAAGCCTACAAGGCTGAAAAGAAATAAATGCTTCAGACAAAATAGTTCCAACAGCCTATAACAGCTGATAACTGTGGTTCTTATTTTCTAGGTATCTGTAAATTACTTCGAGGAGAACTAAGAAACGTGACAAAGAAAAGCAAATATATAATCACAGGCTTAAATTCACCACGCAGAGTTCTGGGCATTCATTTGTCAAACTTCAGGGATCTACAAATCTGAAAGAGTCTAAAGAGGCTCAAAGGTTTTTCTTGGGATAACGGCATTCAAAATAATCCCAGACCAAAACTTTAGAAAAGTATTCCCACTTGCTAAGAAAGCAGAAATACTTTCACTCAATGACTATCCAAGCCAGTGATGAAACCCCAGTGCTGTTTAAACAGACACTGCTGGAGAGAGGACAAAGTACCATTAATTAATGAGCAGAGATACAAGTAAATGGGCAAAGGAGGGTAGAGTAGCATGCTGAAAAAAAAAAAATACTAAAACTTGAAACCAGCTCCAGTGTAGACAGTTTTCTTTCAGGAAGCTGAGAGTCAGGGAAGAACCCCACAGGGGTGCAGGCTTGAACGTACATTCTCACTCACCACTGCAACAACTACAATCTACCAAAACACCGCACTGCATATACACCAAAAAAGCCTGTATTCACCTAGCACACCTGTAAATGACAAAACAAGCTGAGAAACTTGTTATAGGTTATGAAAATTCCCAACATTGGCTAATAATTCTTCCTTTAAAGAAAATTTCTACCTATATTTCTAAAAGCATAATTTTTAAAAGCTGATTATTTTTGTTTAAAAAATGAAACATATCAGCAGTTTATATCAACTATATACCCTCAGAGGTGTCTATCTCAAGATGTTAAGATTCAGGGCTTGGAATGACAGAGGTTCACATGCTAAAGGTGAGTGCAATTTAGTCTAGATTTCACTGCAGACAGAGAACAAAAAGATTCAGTTCTCAGTATAAGGCATCTGAGAAGAAACAACTCTACTGCTTGAAGTGGAGCAATGACACTTTCAGCTTCTACTTCTCTTTGGACACTCTCTCCGTAATGGAAATTATGCTCCCACACATCAGTGCCACAAGGTTTCATTTCAAAGTTCAGCCCTGCATGGTCTATCACAGCAATGAATGTCTTCAACAAGAATCATTGCAAAAATAATGTAAAAAAATGTACAAACTTCTTGCTGCTATCAGACCAGACTTTGATCCTTTAGGGCAGATGCTTTGGTCTCCCACAGCTGCAACTGCTTTATCTTTGCCTGTGACACATACACAAACACATGCTCTTTTCTTTAATTCCTTCAATTCCTTTCAGAGAACTGTACCTTTCAATTAACTCCTCCTCTCCTCTGACTTTTTTGGCCAAGATGTCCTCCTAATTATCATTCTGTCTACAACCCAGTAAAGAACAAGATCAATATGAAGCCCTTCAGCCTGTTTCAAACAATGGTTGTAAAAGCACTGCTAACATTTACAGCACTATACGAATAAATACTAATAGTGAAGATCTCCAACTCTGAACGCAGAAATGGAAAAGATCTCAAGTCATCCCGTTTATCCTCCATACAGCACAGGACTATGGCATACTATCAAGGGATATATAAACCAGCCTGCTTTTACCAAGTCCTTTAGGTTAGCTTTTCTTAAAGTATTCTCTTCGTTGACCTTAAATACTTAGGTATCTTGTTGCATGTTGCAACCATAAAGTCTGAAAAGCTCTCACTATAAAACTCTGACCATAAAACACAGAATGACAAAAAGAAATGCTTTTTCCCACCCAAAATAAATCCAGAGTGCCCAATTCTCTCTACACAGTGCATGCTAATGCCAAACACTTACTTACTTTTAGCCTGTCTGTGGAACATAAAACACATTTAGGGAGGTGAAACATGATGTGCTGACAACTAACAACTTTAAGCCATCCACAGAATCACAGGATTTAATAGCAAAAAGATTCAGTAGATCTTTCCTGAGAGTTGAGCACTACATTTAACATGGAAGGGAGTACTGAGGGAAAGGGGCTTATATTTAGCCTGTCATACATCTTTCTCTCTAGCTTTGCCACTGAAGCGCAAGAAGCTTCAATAAATCTTCAGGAGCAGCCAGTGACAAAAACGGTAAGGGTGCCGATAGAGATCCTGTCCGTTACACAGAGAGTTTCGTCCTGAAACATAACAACCTCTCCTGAAAAATGTAGTGTCCTCATCTCTACAAAACCAAGATGAGTGAGGTCCTGTACAGCTGATAGTTTAGCATATAAATTCTTAACCACCTTCAGAAGGGACTGTTAATTTTGAGATTTATTTTTTTTTAATTCATCTGTATGAAAAATGCCCACAAACACTGAACAAAACATATAATTAGGCCACTGAGGCCATGAGTTTCACTGCCAGAATTAAGAACCATTACCAACCACATGCAGAGCCACCCAGGAAGCACACCTAAAAGCCCAGATCTCCTCCATGATATTCTCTCATCACTCACTAGAAAACAGAGAAACTGTCAGCTTAATTCTTCGTGTGCAGGCAGGGAAAATAAAGCAAACAGTCATCTCTTAAATAACAGGAGGGACTCAACTACTCTGATCATAAAAAGGCTATATACCTACCCAAAATGAACAGAAGTGATGGAGAGATGAATAGCTGGGTAGAGTATTTCAGACTTTTAAAACATAAGCAAGAAAGGAAGTGTTGGGAAATAAATTCCCAGGCTCATCAACTTCACAGCAGGGCTGTCAGCACTCCATCTTTCTACAGCTTTCTCCCTGTTAGCACTGAGCATGAACACTGACGCTCACCCCTCAGTTAAGCGCACACATCACAACAACATGCCATTGCCGCACATCCTTCGGGTTAAAGAGCTGCTTCTCCTTTTCTACCATCATGTCAAGGAGATGGCACTACATGACTGGTGGTAACAGCAGCCTTTCCATGGCTCACCTTTAAAGCTCTTTTGCAGTTTTATCTGTTACAAGTACATTTCTTTTTGCCTTGGGTCACAGGCTTTAAGCCCTCTTTCCACAATGCCTAATAAAAGGGGTTGGGGGGGGTTGGGGTGTCCTCTGAAGTATTGCCATAGTGCCAACCCCAAATGCTGATAGTCAAGTTCCATATAAATCTTACATTACTTTTTAGCCACTCACTTGAGTTTCTTGAAGGCTTCCCTGCCACCAGCCACATACTGCTCTCCACTCTGAAGCTCATCCAGCTGCCGGACACGATGCCCACCCCGGGGGGTATAGATGTTACGCACAGCTCCAAAGGGTGCCTTCACCCCGCCTGTCACTTCTTTCAGGAATACCTCGAAGTTGGACACTTTCTTCTCATGGATGACAATACGGCGCCCTGGGAAGAAAGGGTCCCCGTTGCGATACACCAGCACGCTCTTCACCATCGGCTGCGAGAGCCACGACCCCTTCGTGCCAGGACTAGTCATTTTGGGTGGCTTCGGACCTCCTGTGCCGCCCAAGCCGCCCCGCCTGCACCTGTTCACTCAGGAGAGGGTTCCTGCCTGAGCACCCCTCTCACCTCCACCCTCACAACTCCCTGCCAGGGGTGAAGCGCCCACACCCACGCAAGAGGCCTGGGCACCAGGGCCCACCTCCAGGGAGGCAGAGGAGGGAGCCCAGTGTTGC